TTACGGGTTTGGAACGACATGAGGGTGAGTAATTAATGACAGAATTTTCATTTTTGGGTGAACTATACCTTTAATGCTAATCGTTTGAAAATAATGTACCACCTACACTAAACCTGACCCTAAACCTAACCGGTAGTTTTTTTTACAAAAAAAAACATTTACAAAAACAAATGTGAGGTATACACCGATTTACTGAAGCAATCATGCCATTTTAGCTTGCTTCAAGTCTTTGAGCTGTTTACTTATGACTTGTGTTTGATGGGACTCATTCCACATCACAACTGCAATGCTGTACCAGGTGAGCTACAGAGCAAGTTTACTACATCAGAAAAGCCATACAAATGGAGCTGTTTATGTGGTGCATACATCAAAAATGACAAACTATATGCACTATGGAAGAAGTGTTTTAAGATCATAATATAGTATGCAAATAATCGCATGAAAATAAGTCTTTATTAATCAATGATCTGCCCCGTAATCATAATTTGTGTGAAAAGGAATAAAAGTTGTTGGTGTTTTACTGCCACTAGTGGTCATTTGAGTTGGAAACTGCAATGAATATGTATAGGAACTTTATTGGAGATTTGCAAAAATGTAGATGGAGGCATGTTGTTCCAATACGTCTGGGTTGAAAATATTTATACTGATTTTCTCCATAACATCTTTGCAGTCAAACCAGGTCACAGCGACTAACCATCCACCTGCTTCCACGATCCTACACGGCCTCTCTCCCAGCGAACGACAGTGTGTGGAGACGATTGTGGGCATGGGTTATTCATATGAGGGTGTTCTCAAAGCCATGCAGAGACGAGGGCAGAATGTGGAACAGGTCACTTTTTAGCCCGAGTATTCTTAGTGCAAGTCTGTGACACTTTTGTTTATGTAAACAAGACTGTTTATGTCATTGGTCTCATTCATAGGTGCTGGAATACCTGTTTACTCACAGTCGACTGTGCGATCGAGGTTTTGATGCGACTGCTGTGGAGGAGTGCTTGGAGATGTACCAGGGTTCAGAGGAAAAGGTGAGTAAATTCTAGCAGCCACAAATACACACACAGCCTGAATTACAATCTACCGTCTAATTAGAATATACAGTTGCATGTGTACTTGATGTCACTTGTTTTGACGTGCTATATTTGAATGAAAAACTTTCTTTTTTTGTTTTCTGCATTACATTTTCCACGCAATTAAAAGTCATACAAATTTGAAAGCAATTTTTGTACTTATGCTACATTCTCTCTCCTCAGGCTTTGGAATTTCTGCAGCTGATGTCTCGGTTTGGAGAAATGGGCTTTGAGAGGGACACTATTAAAGAGGTACTGCTTGTGCACAATAATGACCAGGACAAGGCACTAGAGGATCTGATGGCCCGAGCGGCTGCGAGCTGAGCCCCGAGAGTCTCCCCTCCTCGAGCCAGCCCTCCTTTGGCCCTCAGAGGGGTCCTGGCTGTGGAAGGATGGAATTCTCTTATCTCTTAGGCAAGACGACTGATTTTGTACCCTAGTAAAGATATACCTCTTGGGGTAGGGATTGACGGCACCACCAAACAGTGCATTGATCCCTCCTCAGCTGTATGTCTGTTAAGTGATCTTAGAATGGTGATGAGTGGTAGGAGCCGAATAGTGACACTCGAAGCTATTATGCTGCCATCTCCCGCTGCTGGACGCAGGCTTTCGAAACTGAAACCTGAACGCTCATAAACACAACCCATGGCAGAACAGAGACCCCACAGAAGTGCCCACTCTCTATTCTGTCTCTGCTGTTTGTTCATACGTTGTTTATATGTTCGACAGGCGGAAACACTATATCTTTCTTCATTTGTCCTTTTTTGAGATTGTGTTTCTTTGCTTTTTGATTAGGAACTGCTTTAACAGAACTAATCATCATTATGTAAGTTCACGGGGAAAAAAAATACTGCATTAAACTTTTGCCCAGTTGGCTTTTTGCACTGGAATGAACACATTTGGCAAAAGAAATGGGCAAGTTCGGCTGGAGCTGCAAAATTTAAACGATGCCGCCACATTTTCAAAAATTGACATGCAAATACTGCACAGGCACACTGAATCACAGATGTTAATATAAACGTATTTAAAGATCTGTAAAGATACACTGACGGTTTCCATCTGTAATAAAGAAATTGAGAAACTTAACACAGTAATGAGGTTAACACATTTATATGAGGTTTATTCTGAAATCTGTTGAAAAAGCTAAAGACTGTATAGATGCGTGGACTTCTCAAAAATTTGGGGGCAGGATGATTTTTTGGAAATAATTAATTCTTCTGTTCAGCAAGGATGCATTTTAATTGATTATAAGTGACAGTTAAAATTTTTAGAATGTTAGAAAAGATTTCTGTTTTAAATGCGTCGAAGGTTCCTGAAAAACGTGTCATTGTTTCCACAAAAATATTGAACGGCAGCTGTTTTCAACATTGATAATTATTAAAGATGTTTCTTGAGCAGTAAATCAGCATATTAGAATGATTTCTAAAGGATCACATGACACACTGAAAGACTGGAGCAATGATGCTGAAAATTCAGCTTTGCCGTCACAAGAATAAATTACATCTTAATATATTTTAAACTTGAAAACAGTTCTATTAAATTGTAATAATAGTTCACAATATTACTGTTTTTACTGTATTTTTGATCAAAGAAATGCAACCTTGGTGAGCATAAGAGATTTCTTTTTAGAAATCATTAATAAATATATAAAACCAACCCCAAACCTTTGAACGGTAGTGTTCCTGATAGTTGTGCAATAGAATAATCTTAATACGAGACTGTGAATGCTTGTGGCACATTAGAAACAGTTTGAATGGCCTTTTAGAGCTTTGGTCCCCAGAGAAACCTTGATGTCAGTTCAAATATCTCCACATTACCTCATGGATTGACCAACTTGCTCAGTACAGGAGATACTGGCTCCCTCCTCAGAGGAGCGAAGGAAAATGAGCAGAACTCTGCAGTATAAAAAATTTACTTATGTTACAAATTAACATCATAAATTAACAACAGAAGGTCCAATGTCTAACCTCATATTTTTCTGTTACTGACGTTTGACCTCTGATTATCCAGGCCAGGTCATATTCAACCTAAAAAAAACTAAGAAATTATTATTATTATTATTATTTTTCATTGTCATATTATATATATATATATATATAAAACTTTTGGGTGAATTTTGATCATACCAATGCTTTTAGGTTGAGGTGTAGATTTTTTTTTAATGCCCCATTTGACAGCAGCCTTTAGGTATAACGCAATACTAAAAACCTTAATTAAGCCCTATTAAGCACTTTCCTCTGAGATGGGATAAATGATAGGAATCACATATGACAGTGATGTTCCAGGAAGCACATGTGTTCCCAGGGAGCACATGTAGGTTACTGGGTAGCTCATCTAGCCATTCATAAATAAATGTTTCATTATTTAGCAGCCAGACGTGCATTATTATTTTGCTTTTTATTTTTTGTTTTCTGAATTTTCACCATTATAGTTACAAAAACAGCCTCTTTAAGCTCACTTTCCATGTGCAATATAATTTCACCAGTGTTGTCAAAATAATCTCATTTAAACTGTAATGAGTCCTTGTTGATGCGAGTGGATCTCATGTAGATGTCTGGAAATCAATGTCACCCTGAAATCAAAAGAAAAAACAAATTAAATTAGCATAAAAATGATTTTAAGTTACCTTAACAAATATATATATATATATATATATATAGTACAGTTTGTTAAGGTGAAAAGAAATCATCATAATAATATACATATAAATCATATTATATAAAAAACATCAAAAATAGAGAGAAATTTATTTTTATGTC